ATTCGAAGTGCGGTAGTATTCGTGGTAGTCGAGTTATGTTATAAAAGGAAGAAAAACGGGTGAGTTAACGAAAATATCGAGATTTCTAAGTGTTTTGAATTTCTTCGTATTTCACTTCACTTATGAAAACCTAACCAAAATAAACTATCCCCCAAACAAAACCTTTACCAAAACAAAACTTTCCTCTTAATGAAACTTTCTTCCCCTTACCCTAACGCCTCCCAATCTTGATTATTTTCCATGCTAGTTACAAGATTGTAAGAGTTATTAATATTTCAAAAGTGAGAATCTCAATAACTAACTTTCTGCTAGCTTCACCTATCCCATGATCCAGTGACCGGCAGTCTTAACGAGACGACAATGACGGCTAAGCGGAAGGCGGTGGCCGATCTCTCTACCAATGCGAATACAGCTCGCGAGCGAAAGCGTCGGGATGCCCGGGATGCAAGTCGCGTCGAATATGAGAACCGCAAAAAGGCTGATCAGACTGCGGTATCGCGCGCACGGGCAGCTATAGCGCTGTTACCAAATTTCAGGTCGAGTGGGACCGACAAGCGACAAGAGCTACTTCGTGTAGCGGTCGAACAAGTGACCAACGAAAGGTCAGTTATGTGTACCAGTCAATGTGGTAACTAGTATTTTTACTAACTAATCTAGGATTAATCGTGGAGTCCATCACTCGCTCCATCCCCTTGCGGCGGTCCCTGCGACGACTAGGACTGCGCAGGACCCAAAGTTATTTCTCAATAAGCTCTATCCCGATGCCGATAACGATAGCGATTGGGAAGATCTCCATGAAGATATGGAAACTTCGGTCGATCAGGATTTCGAAATCCTAAACAGTATGCCCCTCCCGCCAACATTTAATTCGACGGATTTCAGGTTCTGGGCGGAATACAAGCGAACTGTTGCCAAATATGATTTCTATAATCGGATCGAATTGGGAGAATGGCGTCGCTTTACCAAACGATGGCAACGAGCACGAAAGGCGGTTCTATATAAGAGCCGAGCTATCAACCGAGCGAGAACTTTAGACGGTCGGCTTAGCCTTGGAAAGCTATGGCTTCTGGTAGACACCGTGGAGATTTTGGTAAGTGTGGTAGTTTATGTGGTAGTCCTATACTAACCGCATTTAGCGATCGAGTGCCGAACTGCAAAGGCTGATCCGAGCAGATTGGCAATCTTTCGGCTTAAACGCCGAAGACCAAGATTGCGCAGAACTTGAGTGGATAGTTCGTAATGCCCCGGCGTTGGACGACTGGCTGTCATCTCCGGCGTTCTACTCGAAGGGTCATTTAGATCTTCACCTCGTATGGCCGAAGCTCCCCTTCGCGATTCGATATTTTCTCGTAAGTTTAATGCGGTAGTCAGCGTGGTAGTCTCTTTTCGGCTTATTTGACATTTTAAATCAGAACCAGAGCGCCACTTTCTCAACGGCGCCTTTTGCGCACCAAATTTTCAAGGATCGACACGAGAGAGGCATTTTAATTGGGTTCCTCGCTTGGGCTGGTCGATACCAATATGAATTCCCCTTCCCGGCTTGCTTGTGGGATGCGCCTGATAACGATGAAAGATGGGGACTTTCTAAGATTAGCGACTCGAAGACGGCTGCCATGATGTATGATGGTTTTAAACTCGTCTTTAAACCGCCTGGGAACTGCGAAGCCCCCCCTGACGCCTACCGCATCGACTGTCCAATTGATAGAGATGCGATGATCGGAGATGGATACTTGCTATCGCTCCGCCCTAACGGTGAGCGAGGGAACGCTATTTGGAAAAGGAGGATGTGACAAGGCATCTAGCTATTCGATTGATAGGCTGGAACATTGACTACCACACCGACTAGTACGCCCTTCGCAGACATAGTTCTGCAGCATATGAATAACGGATTCGGGCAGAATATGGGGGGCTGGTGGACCAGGAATTAATATACATTCTGCTTCAACCCATTTCCTGTGATGAATTGATAATATTCTATTAAGTACTTCAATCACGATAATACATTACTGCCATACTGACTACCACACTGACTACCACTTTTTATCATTACTTAAACCTGTCTTTTACTCTATTTCTAAGATGGCCTCTTTATACACTGATTCAGAGCCGACTGAGCCCCAGTCAAGCTTTACCGAAGCAAGGTCTGCGATCGAATCGTCCGACGGAATCGGTGTCGATGGTCTCCGGCAGTATACGATCAAAAACACGACATATTATGTTGTTGACCGAGATAACCCCGCGCCGTTTGACGATTGGTGGAAGAGAACCCAATTCTGCCTTAGGAACAAGGCTAGAGACCCTGACAAGCGGTTTAAGCCAACGTGGGATAGAAAAGTGGTTCGTTCTGATTACTGGTCCTACTTCGAAGAAATCGCCGAGTCTGCTACAGGGGTTGTTAAGATCCATTGTATCCGCTGTGGTTTTGTTGGGGGCCACCCAGCTGTAATCACTGAGAGGCTAGACGGCAGTCTCGGATCACGTACTGGCAATTCGACAATGAAGGCGCACCTTCGGTCAGGAAATTGTATGCAGAAAGCTGATAACAAGGGCCTAACCCAGTTGACATTTCACGATATTACCGATCCAAGGCGCAAGGTAAGAGACTACTATATGAACTAGTATATACACTTTCCCTAATAGAGTTTAGGCTAGAGTTGATAGGACCCGAGCTGCCCAATTCCTTGAGGGACAACGGGTTACCTCGAAGCATTTCTTGGATTGTCTGGCTCGAATGATTGTTTCTCGGGGTATCCCTATGAACTTCTTCGAGGATCCTGAAGTCCAGCGGTCCTATCTCTGCCTAACGACTACTGAACCACCATTTAGTAACCCAAAGAGTCTGCGGAATCGGATCTTCACTCTCTATGAATCCGCGACGAAGGCAACTCGGGATGATCTTGCCCACCCTGATAGCATCAAACAGAAAATTGGTCTCGCGGTCGATGGCTGGTCCGCAAAGTCTGGCCGTACAGGCTATCTTGGAATTCTCGCCTATTGGACCTCGACGGACATGAAATGGCATGAGGCGCTTTTAGCGTTCACGCCAACTGAGGCTAGGCATTCCGGTCGGGACCTAGCGGAGATGATCATGCAGACACTACTCAAGTTTCGAATTACTGACCGTCTACGCTCAATCACTGCAGACAATGCTTCGTCAAATGGCACGATGGTCGCGTCTATCAACGACGAGTTGAAATTTCTGTTGTCGTCACATGGAAGCTTAGACCCGGTCGTATCAATCCCTTGTATCTCCCATGTTATTCAGCTGGTCCAGGGAGAACTCCTCAAAGGCCTCAAGTGCGTGGCGGAGAATTCGGAGATTATCCGAAACTGGGATGAAAAGGAGTTTGTGAGGGAGCAGCGCGCAATTGCGTCGTATGGGGCGGTGCCAATTACACTTTGGAAGGTGAGTCTCTACTCCTTGTAAAATGTGGTAGTCAATGTGGTAGTCATTACTAATATAGTCTAGGCTCGACAGACCGCTAAACACATTGTGGCATCGGAGAAACGACTGAGAGATTTTCTTAAGATCCAGCAGGAGCTTATCGACCAGGAACACCCGACCCTGGACAAACAGGAGCTCTTCTGGGTTAGCCTGCTCCGGCAACCCCTGCGTCCACTACAAGACGTCAAAACACGATGGGACTCGACTACGCAGATGCTTGTTCGACTCCGCATTCTTCGCCAACCCCTTGACCGTTACTGGCGTCAGGTTTCGAAGCAGTCGATGGCCCTCGATCCTCAACAATGGGATATCATCGAATACCTTATTGATATGACCGCTCCACTAAATGCATTTACGCAGTCAATTGGCAGATCGTCGTCCCCATCAATCCACAGAGTCTACACGATCTACGATACTACATTCGGCCATCTTGAATCTACGATCGATAGACTTAAGAAGAAGCATGCTTCGTGGAAGATTAGCCTCAAGGAGAGCTTGGTGAATGCCGTAGAGAAGTTGAAGAAGTACTATAGCAGGACTAGTGTTTTTACAGCTCTTGATGAAGCATACGCGTTCTCTTTCCTACTCAGTCCTAGGACACGAAATACTGCTTTCACTTCATCGGCTTGGAAAGGGAGGGCTAATAACCGGGGACAAAATTACCGAACAGTCTACATGGGGAGACTGCGGGATCATTGGGAGGAACACTACAAGGTTGACAACCCAACCCAATCAGAAGAGGGAGCAGCTTATACACGCGGAATTGACTATGTGCGTCAACGGTTGCATCAAGATGTTCAGCCCACCGAGGGTTCAAACTCTCGATCAATGGACGAGCTAGCAAGATATTTTGACTCTTGTAAGTACATATTCCCCTTTATTCATACTCCGATCTCTTACTAATCTTTTAATATAGGCTCGTCAAACAATATTGAACCTCTCGAAGCTTGGCGCGAGAATGGAAACTACATAGCCTACCCAACAGTTGCTCGGATGGCTCGCGACTACCTTTGTTCTCCGGCAGCATCCGTTGGCGTCGAGCGCCTATTTTTCCTTGCTCGCTGTCAGTCAGAGTTCAATCGGGAGTATAAGAGTGAAACACTCGAGGCGATCATGGTGGCCAAGGCGAGGTTGAAGCTTGACTTTCAGATAGAATCCGAGCGTCTCCAAGAGCTGGAGGAAGAGCTAGGTGATATCGGTGATGCTGATACGTCTACGCTAGACACACTGGTTATAGAATCGGACACTCGTAAGAGGCATACTAATAGTATCCTGCGCGCGACGGGTGAAGGGGAAATTCATTTGATCAGCGACGGTGAAGATAGTGAGGATGATGTTGAGGATGACGGGAGGGATAGCGATCCTAATACTGGGGAAGATAGGAGGGACGCTGATCAGAGCGATGGTCTAGGGGAACCAGACGAGACACTAGATGAGTTAGGTGAAGATTACGATACAGCTGGAGTAGCAAAGAGGACACGAAGTAGTACTATGGCAAGTGAACCTCAAGACCGTTCGAAGCGGAATAGGTTATAGATAGGTTTTCTTCTATTAGAGTACTTTTGAATGAAATTAATTTCTTTCCCTTGACTACCACACTTGACTACCACATATGACTACTATATTTAATCCCCTATTCTATCCTACAACCGGATCGTACCTCTAGTTATGCCAAGAAACCCAACCCATCTTGCGGTTGGGGCTAAACCCGCAGAAAACCCCACCCCGCGGTTCCCCAAGGTTTCTTGGCATGGGGTGGGGTTGGGGCGGGGTTTCTTGGCGTGCGGGTGGGGTTGGGGTGGGGTTTTGAAATATTGGCTTCCCACCCCAACCCCACCCGCAAACCGGCGGGTGGGGTTGGGTTTGGGTTTGCCAAGAACCCGCACCCAACCCGTTTTTTGCGGGTTGAACCCGCACCCATCCGAGGCCTAGTTGAAGGCACCGAATAAAGTAACGAGCGCCCGTGGGCCATCGGCGGCGCCCAGTGCCGTCAACGCTGCTGCCACGACAATCTGAAGTCCCAGACATCCATTGATGAGGAAAGAAAAAATCTTATATTGCTGTTTTGAGGTGGCTTCAGAGTTGACAATGCGTGCGTAGATTCCAATGTTTGATGCGGGTCGGCGAAAATACGCTGTGGCCGTGAGAGTCGGAGCTTCGCTGATTCCAAGGATGGTTCGGAACGCCGTGAGTTTGTCGGTGTGAGGGATCAAACGAGATCGTTCCCTTCCCAAAGGTGCGCTGTGTTCGGCAGGCCTGCTTTCGTTTCCGTCTCCTGTTCCCGTATCGTCCTCTGCAGCAGTTGAGAGGGGGCCTGGATCTTGGCTTTCAATATCATTGCGAGTAAACATTGAGCTCAAAGCAGCTCTGCTTCGTGCAAGAGTTTAGTGGACTGTTGGGCTTCGCATAGGCTTCCACCTCAAGGTTTTGGCGCATCTGAAGCGGTTCTTTGGATAAAACCTTTCCTTTCCTCCTTTGACTTGGGGATCAATCCCTTTTGAAATAACAACAAGCCCTTCAGCTCACCATTGCTCAACCGTGCATGTTCATGTTCATTTCGGGAAGGATCATCAATACAGTGCCGGGACCCCATGTCATTTTCTGTTCATCGGTCTGGGTCGTTGCATACGATTGGCGATGGAATTATTACTTGAGCAGGCCGAGGCGAGCTACAACTCGAATGAGAAACCTTTGAACCCTTGCGGTCTACCAGTTCTGAAATAAGTATTGCTGTCGCATTAGCGTGCGGGTGACAGGGTGTATAAGCCCCACAACCTCTTTTATGGCGGCTCCGTCCGGGGCTAGGACCCTAAGCGAACCCCCTGCCACCCGGAAGGGGGGGGAATGTGCTTGTATGTGCCCTCTACGTCCAGTAGTTTGATTGGACTAAGAAACTATTGATATGGATCATGAGATACTAAATGCTTATGAATTCTCAAGATCTTCATGGGCGAGACGTCCTCGAGCCGGGACGATATCTGAAGACAAAACATCGTTATCGAACGACACCCTACTTCGCAGAGAAAGGCTAGAGGCATGCTCTACCCAGCACACCTTTTCGTATTTATTGCCAGACAAATCTGACGCTCTTTGGATCAACCTTTCGAACCGGAGATGCACCATAACTAATGTTGGTATACCCGCACCACACGCCCAATATTGTTCCATATATTGGGCGCTGGCCACCCCAAAGTACATACCACCCCAACATACACAGAATGATCCAGCGAAAGGAGATTTGCCATTTAACGCCCAAGATAAAGAATTTGCATACTAATTAATAATAGAATCATTGCAAAGCCATCGAAACTACTAATCCCTCGTGCTAAAGTAAATTTAGATCGCGTTGGGCGGGTTTTGCATTACTCTGAAGTTCCACCCTCCACGGAATGAAAGTGGTATCACTAACTTCAATCTCTAAAAACACAAGATGTCGCCAGAAGAATATACGAATTAAACCGTAGGAGGATGGATAAACTGTGGTTGGGGGCCCTGGCGAGCTTTTTCGCGTGTTTTTCGGTCTTTCTCACGTTTCCTGACCTTCGTAGCCTCTTTCCTCTCCTCCTTCGCCTGCTCCTTGGCTAGCCTCTCCGCCTCACGATTATCTACAACCTTCCTACAGTCTCCTACCGTGAGCATACCTCCTTGGAATACGCGTCGTCTCCGACCCGCTTTGGCATTAATCAGTTTCATCTTTTGCGCGAGCTCTGAGGTGGCGAGATCGTGCATCGCCTTCTTCGCTTCAAGAGCCTGGGTCTGGGCACCTCGTGATAGTTGGTCAACGCGGTGGAGGATTTTCATTGGAACACCCTCTTCCTCGAGTTCCTTGTAGATGATATTCTTCAATCGTGAGGTCGTTCGCACAGTGGTGGGAGTCTTGAGCTGTGTCTCCTCTGGATTCCGCTCCGGAGGAGGAGTAAGGAGCCTCTCTACATCGATCGATGGAAGTGGTGGGCGGACCTTATCAAGTACGATATCAGGATTCCACGGATAGAGTCCTGCCTGGCGAAAACCGCTCCGGATCGTGCCCTCGGTCAGGGCCTCTTTCCGTACATCACCAATCGCATCCAGAAACTCTAATTTCCCGTACTCCGTGATGCCCTCGCGGACAGCGTATTCATACCGCTTCCCATGATAGTGCTTCATCGGCTGGAAACACGAGAGGTCGAGAGGTTGCATAATATGTGTAACGTGAGGAGGGAAGGCGATCGGGAAGATCGCGTGTTCGTAGCAGAAATCTACAAAAAGGGTCGTTTTATGGCACCCATGCCCATCCAGGAAAAGCACTCGTTTTTGACTGGTATGACCACGACCTTCCGGTCTCGTATGGCGCTCAAAATGCTGTATCCAATCGAATGCGAAGAGGTCGTTATTGAACGCTGTATCCGTCGCACCAAGGAGGATATCATCGTCGATATTGATCTCATCCTGGACCCAGCCTTCTAGGATCCATTTCCCCTTCATGATCAAAGAGGCGGGAATCTTCTTCCCTAGGGCGTTCACTCCCTCCACGATGGTGGCAGACTCGCGGTTCACAGGCACTGCGATCCTGTTATAATTATCGTTTCCGGTATCCCGTACGAGCACGATCATCTTAGGATTACCAACCCCGATCATGAACCCCGATTCATCCATATTCCACATATTCTCCGGTTGTATGTCGTGTAGGTCGAGCCACGCGCGAGTCTCCTCGAACCAGTGCTGGAGATGATCGAAATCCTCCGCCTCGCGTCGCTTTATATCTCGTGGTCTCGATGATATAGTTTTGATCTCAGGGTGTCGCATCAGATACCGGGCAACCCAATGTTGCCCAAGAGGTTTAAGGGTGACGGGTTGGTCTAGATTGCTTTTATATACACGAGGCAGATTGATTTATATACAGTAAGATAAGAATAGGTTTTTAAAGTGTGAAAAGAAAAAAGAGAAGGAAAAGAAAGATGTAAAAGAACGTAGGCGTTGAGGTCCGGGGGGGTAGGAGGGCGGGGAGGAGCTTGAGGGGCGGGTCCTGGTCGTAGAGGGCTAAAGGTCTCGGTATGCCTCGTTTTGGGTCCCTGTACCGTAGCGATCCAGCTCTCAGCCT